TATGTAGTAAAACAACTAATATTTATCAAATCTGGATATTTTAGAATAATAATAAGCAAATTTTCGGGAATTAGCAAAGGCTATATATACTTCACAGTTTTTGGCAAAGTAATGGCTTCAAACATCCTCCCTCAATTCATAATACGTTTTTTTAATGCAAATTGATGTAATTATGCTACGTAGAACATCTAAGTTGATATTGACTAAAATTTTTTAAAGTCAAGAGTATTTTTTTAACTAGAAAATTTTTAGAAAAACCATAGACCAATTAGCTTACGGTTTTTTTCAATATGGTTCCAAAATCAACACATCATTCCAATCAACTCATGGCATATAACAAAAAATTTTCCATTAAAATTAACTTTTCTCCCATATGGTCAGCCATTTTCTGTGGAGTCATGAATCCGAGTCATCATGCAAGAGAAAGGAACAAAAGAAGTTAAGGAAGTCTAGCATGTGGTCCAGCCAGTAGCAAGTCAGACATTAACTTAATTAGTCACAAAAATGAAACTATAATTAGATTTGACGTAGTAAATAATTTAAATTCCAGTCCCTATTAAACACACAAAGAGTATAGTACTGTAAAGTGAAAAAGATGCTCATCTCCATGTTGCTGTTGTTGTCTTTAATAGCTGTCATTGACAAAGCAGGAGGATCTCATTGTATGGCTGATTGTACTAGATATAAACATGAAGCATCACTATACATAAGGACATGCTGCAATAGTACTAACTTAGGACAGGCTATTTGTATGAGGAAAGGAATAAAGAATACTATCATATTATGTCTTAATGTAAGGCCAAAAGTTTGTCCATCAACACATGCAGGTAAAAAAACTACTGTATATAGCTGGTAATTTTGTGGAGATAATGTTAGAATTCATGTACATGTGTTTTACTAAATTTTTATTGATTGGTGAGTGACTGAAAGTGCACAGCATAATGGTTCAAAATGTTGGGTTCTATTTTGGAAAATGGTCATAAAGCATCATTTTTGCCAAAATCCCCCCCTCAAAAATTATTATAAATTAGGTATCAGTATTGACTGTAAGAGCTTCTTTGAGGAAGGTATAACTACAAGTGGTGTTTACACCATTAATCCTGATAGAGGGACTCCATTTGAAGTTAGTTAAAGCAGTCATCATCTATAATGATAGACCATTGCATCATAGGTGTACTGTGATATGGAGACTGATGGTGGTGGATGGACTGTATTTCAGAGGAGAAAAGATGGTTCTGTTGATTTCTATGGATACTGGACTAGTATGATAATGGTTTGGCAACCTTACTGGTGAGTTTTGGTTAGGATTGAGCAAGATTTATCGTCTTACTAAAGAAGGATCAAACACACTAAGAGTGGACCTGGGAGACTTTGAGGGAAACACAACTTATGCTATAACTACTCTACATTTAATGTTAGTGATGCTAGTACTGAATATATACTAACAGTAGGAGGATACTCTGGTGCTGCTGGGGATAGTTTAGCATATCATAATGGAAGCAGATTCAGTACATATGATAATGATGCATCAGGAGGTAACTATGCTCATGAACGCAATGGTGCCTGGTGGTATGGGGGTAGTGAGTGTGATCGTTCAAATCTTAATGGTCCTTATATCGGTAAAGGTTATGATGATGATGCTATTACTTGGCAAGACTGGAAAGGATACCATAGCCTCAAGTTTACACAGATAAAAACTCGTCGTAACAATTAAAATACTGTCCCCCTACACATTGTGCTGATTATATTATTATGCATTTAATATTACAGTCAATGATACTTCGCAAAAATTATTTAAAAGTAACAGAACTAAGAAATGTGTCACTATATATTTAAAATAGTATCAAATATATTGGTTTATTAATATATATTAAGAGACACAGAAAATACTGTAAAGCAAGAGACTCTACATACATATACTTTTCCAGTACAGTAGTAGTTAAGTAGGCACTGAAGCATTGGTTAGACTATCTACAGTACTAGATCTTGCAGTAACAAAACCAGCATAAAGGAAACACATTCACAGCATGCATTATGGAAGTGTCTGTTTTTCTAAACAAATTAGGTTTTGTACATTGCTTAAGTTTTGTTTATCATAACAATAAACACCAAAATAATCACACAAATTCCAGTCCTTTGAATAGTAAAGTGTTAAAGATGATCATATTTATGATGCTGCTGTTGCTGTCCTTACTAGTTACCATTGATGAAGGAGAAGGATCTTATTGTATGGCTGATTGTACTGGAAATAAACATGAATCATCACTGTATATAAGGACATGCTGTAACAGCAGTAACTTAGGACAGACTATTCATACAAAAAAAGGAAGAGTGAGGACTATTACCATGTGTCCTAAAGTAAGGCCACAAGCCTGTTCACCACTAAGTAAATAAGCTAATAGTTAAAACATTAATAATACTAACATGCACTATAAACTAGATATCAGTGATTGTAAGAACTTGTTTGAGGATGGTAATAATGCAAGTGATATTTATACTGTTAATCCTGATGGAGGGACTCCATTTGAAGTTAGTTAAAGCAATCCTTCATCATTTATAATGATAAACTATATTGGATCACAGGTATACTGTGATATGGAGACTGATGGTGGTGGATGGACTGTATTTCA